GCTTCCAGCCATGGTGTTGAGACCCAAACCCCTACACAGCTTTATGGTCTGACTTGCTCAGAAACCCTGGGACCTTTGTTCTCCTCCTCCATGAGCTCAGCTCATGAGGCTGCTAACAGGGTCTCATTTTTACCTAATAAACAAGGTCTGCAGGCGAGGTCACAGCCTTTAGCTCGAGGGGCAGGGCAACAAGTGATCCATCATGTTCAGTGAAGCCTCATAACTTTTACGGCCCCTTTAAAAGACAGATGCTTGACATGAGTTTGACACTGTTTAGTCTCTTGTTTTTGAAGATTGAGATCGTTTTGGGAACTGCACCAGCTCTGGCAGATGGGAGGCATTTCCCTGCGGATTTGATGGACGTGAATGTTTCCATGTTTCAGGGAAATCCAGTTAAAAAAAGCAGCTCAGCATGGGAAACCCTTGTGATTTCCAGGAGCCTCCCCAGACAAGTTGCCTACCTCAGGCTTTTGAGTAGGGATCTGATGTGCCCTTTACAAATCTCTCATGCTGCCTCTGCCCCCACGGCAAAGCCCATAAGCATCAGGGAAGCCTGGTCCAGCCCTCAACACTGGCTTCTCTGACTCAGAGAAAGGTGACATGTCTCTCTTCAGCATGCATCAACTGCGTAAAAAGCAGCAAGCAGGAATATGTATCATTGCATGCCTCACCTAGATGCTCTAAAAGAAGAGGTGTTACCCAGGGGTGAATGCTAGCCCTGCTGTGCATGCACAACACTGCAGCAAACAAGCAAGCGGTAGCCTAGGGTTGCTCACCCCCTTGCCGAGCCATGGCAGCTGTATTTTTCACTCCACATCCCAGCTGCTTTTGTAAAACTTCCCCTCCTTGTGTTTCCAGTCACTTGTAGATCATCTCAGAGCTCTGGATGGATTTTCCCCAGCCCTTCGGTTGTCCCCTTGGTTGGTTTTGCTGCAGCAGTGCATCTGCCAGCCAGAGGGGGAGGACCCTGGGATGTCTGGCGGGGATGCAGGGCTGCCCTCATCCCAGGGCACAGTGCTATCCCTGGCATCCCTCAATTCAGCCCCCAGCACACCCGGGTCCTGTTGGTAGCAGGAGGGCTGCACCTCCATCCCACAGTCCTCCCTTATGCATCAGGTCCTGAAGCCATGGCCAGGTACTAAGGAGGGACAGACACCTGGGAGCAGGCCAGTAACCAGGAAGTTCTGCCAAGCAGCCAAAACACCAACAACTCAGGCAGTTTTGGGGAAAAATCAGACAAGACCTTCACCTCCCTGCAATGCTGAACCAAAAAGCCAGAATGAAAGCATTTGTTATTATTCACATTGCAAAATAAGCTTTAAATTGTGGCTGCAGAGGTAATTCTACTGCAACCCTGCTACTTCCAAGTCTTCAGAACCTCTTAGAATGACAGGCAACAGGCTTGAGAACATTTCTTATTCTGGGTGTCAGTGTTGTGCAACAGGCTCTGATTTCAAGTCTATGGTGTTTGGGATACCCCAACAATCTTCCTGGAAAGGGCTGATACCCTTCCTTACAGGGCTGTAAGGTAAAATACAGCCTGATTCACCCTGCAAGCTCTCCCCTCTGCAGATGCTGTAGGTGGACAGTGCTCGGTGTTAGTCCCTGGTGACCAAAAAGGGACCCGGTGAATCCAGGAAAATGGGAGATGTGGGGTGACCCTAGGGAACCAGAGGAATTAGAGATGTTCCATGTTAATATATGGGGAGGCAGAGATCCTAAACCAGCTGCAAAAGCAGTAACAACTACAGTGAAGCCAAATGTTTTTCTTTGCCCTGCACTAGAGCCATGGGGAATTGCTATCAGCTCTGACATCCGAGGTAAGCACTGGCACTGCTGCAGAGCTGGCTTGGGAGCCCAGCAAAGCCATCTTCCCTTAAGTCGCTTCCTTGCCTAATTCATTTAACCCAGTTTAATAGCTACCACACCGTACGCCCTCCTGGAGCCAGTGCAATGAGCTCACTGCCCACTCCCTGCCTGGAAATGCAGCTGCCTCCCACCTGGCTCTCTCCTTCATCCCAGGCTCCTTCCAGCTCCCCAAAGGACTGGACCACCAATCCCAAGGGTGTTCTGCAGGGGTGATAGGCTCAGACACGCAGCACATCACATCACCCACCTCTGTGGCTGTCACCCACGTTTGCTGGCCCTCATGAATGTGTGGCTTCTCCCTTGACATTCTACAGCTTAATTTCCAGATGGAAATGCAGCCCTAAAGACCTGTCTGGCACTTTCTTGCACCAGCAGGTTTCTGGTATGGAAATGAAAGATAATTAAGGGTCAGCACAGGCAACAAAATGACATTTGAGCATCTTGCATTTAAGCCAAGCAGATGTTGATTGAGCTGAAGAGAGTCAAATTAATTTGGCTTTCGTAATGTTTCCTGTGTGATGTTAATATAAGCAGGCTTTTGTGCAGGCTCACGGCTCACGATACAGAGATTCATGGCACTCTGCATCCTCACAGAGCTCTAATTAAGGCTCTCATCTGAAAGATGGAGCAGGAGGGCTGATTGCTTTGTTCAGTTTTTGGGATGGGGGCAGCAGTGGACAGGGCAACCCACAGCCAGCAGCTCAGATTGGGCCTGGCCAGCACACCCCAGCAGGGGGTCTGAGACACCCCCCCCATCCCTCCACAGAGAGTGGTGTGGAGTGGTCCCCAAGCAGAGCAGTGACCACAGCATCTCCAGGTGAGGGATACATCTCTGCATCACAGATGGCAAAGGGACTTGGGGGGGTTCCTCTCTTTGTGTGCACCAATCTTATCCCCAGCTCACAACCAATTTCTTCTTTTCATTTTTGCATTACATTTCAGCCAAGTCATTTCCCTGACCTCACTTGCCAGGCTTGCTGTCCCTCACTGGGGACAGTTCACATGCTGTAGCATTTACCTGCACAAAGCAGATTCCAGCTGGATGGATGTGAGGAGGCTGTCTCCCAGTCCCACATTTAGAATCATAGAATAGTTAGGGTTGGAAAGGACCTTAAGATCATCTAGTTCCAACCCCCCTGCCATGGGCAGGGACACCTTACGCTAAATCATATCACCCAAGGCCTTGTCCAACCTGGTCTTGAACACTGCCAGGGATGGAGCATTCACAACTTCCCTGGGCAACCCATTCCAGTGCCTCACCGCCCTAACAGTAAAGAATTTCCTCCTTATATCCAATCTAAACTTCCCCTGTTTAAGTTTTAACCCGTTACCCCTTGTCCTATCACTACAGTCCCTAATGAAGAGTCCCTCCCCAGCATCCCTGTAGGCCCTCCCCATTCAGATACTGGAAGGCTGCTATGAGGTCTCCACGCAGCCTTCTCTTCTCCAGGCTGAACAGCCCCAACTTTCTCAGCCTGTCTTTGTATGGGAGGTGCTCCAGTCCCCTGATCATCCTCATGGCCCTTCTCTGGACTTGCTCCAACAGTTCCATGTCCTTTTTCTGTTGAGGACACCAGAACTGCACACAATACTCCAGGTGAGGTCTCACGAGAGCAGAGTAGAGGGGCAGGATCACCTCCTTCGACCTGCTGGTCCTGCTGCTTTTGATGCAGCCCAGGATACGGTTGGCTTTCTGGGCTGCAAGAGCACACTGAAGCCAACTCATGTTCATTTTCTCATCAACCAACACCCCCAAGTCCTTCTCCGCAGGGCTCCTCTGAATCTCTTCTCTGCCCAACCTGTAGCTGTGCCTGGGATTGCTCCCACCCAGGTGCAGGACCTTGCGCTTGGCATGGTTAAACTTCATGATGTTGGCATCAGCCCACCTCACAAGCGTGTCAAGGTCCCTCTGGATGGCATTCCTTCCCTCCAGGGTATCAACCGAACCACACAGCTTGGTGTCATTGGCAAAATTTCCTGATGAGGAGCCATAAACCTCCCAGAGAAACAAGGAGCTGGTAATTAGTGGTCAGCAGCCGAGCTGGAGGGAGCAGGTCAATGTCAAAAGCAGCTCCCAGGAGCATCCCACCTTTAGCTTGTCCCCTTGGATGGACCTGGGTCCTCTTCCCGCTGCTGTCACATTCTTCAGCAGGCTGGTCCCTGCAGGATGTGACCCCTCTGCCATTTCCAACGTGATAGCGTGCTTTCCTTTTCTCTCCATCTTTTGTGTGCCAGGCAGCCTTTCCTCCTGGTTTCTAAAAGGATTAGGCAACTGATCCCGAAATTCCAGTGTGAGCAAGCAGGTCACGACCATCAAGACAAATAACGCACACAGATCCACAGCTCTTTTCAAGCCAAGCACCCACTGAGACAGGATGGGGTACGCTGAGCCCTAAACCTAGAAAGTGCATTTGCTGCTGCTGTGTGCATGGATGGGGAAATAATTGGGAAGGGGGTAACCATGACCAGTACAGCAGATGGGAGCCTGCCCAATCTGGGCACCCAGGGCTCAGCAACGGGGTTAATGACTTCATTGCATGAGTTACATGACAGTGGGAAGCACCCCAGCTGCAGCCCTGTGTACAGGGCATGTCTTGCAACCTCCCCCATACCCTGCCCAAAATTCCACAGCCCCACTGAACCCCCAGCCACAGGGCGCTGCCAGAATCCCGCCGGCAAGGCTTGAGCAATAGCAGCCCATGCCTGACATCTGCCCACACACAGCTTGGAGGCCAGTAAACTTCCTGTGGATATTGGCTGCCTGACAGAAGTGACATAAATTCTGCCTTTTTTTAGGGTGGGTATTTTTTGGTTCTGTATTTTGATAACAGGTAGGAACTTTGCCTGCCTCTCCCTGGCTTCGGGATAGACGAGCCTTAGGGAAGAGCTCAGAGTGGGGGTATTTCCGAAGCTTGGGGGTCACGTTGCAGAGGTAAGGCAAAAATGCTATCACTCATTCATCAAACAGAGTTTATTTTTGCCTTTTAGGAAATTGGAGGCACACGTTTCCCCTCCTTGCCTCCCCTCCCCCCGTCCCTGAGGCTTCATCCCACCAGTGCTCAGTTTCCTCCAGGAGCCAGATCTACCCAGAGGTGCAGCTTACGCACAAACCCACACATGATTCAGCAGGCTCCTTGGAAAGACATTTATTATTTAAATAATAATATATTAGCTTTACATCACCTCAACAAACAAACCTCAGAAAAGCTCCGAATCACAGCACCTTTGGGCTCTTTGAGCAGAGCAGCAGCCCTAAGATGGACTTGGAAATGCCCCACTTGCAATAGCATCATGACACTGCACATGCTCGATGCAGCACAAATGGGAGTCCCCCAGTAACTCCCTAATGGCAGCAGTGATGGTCTTGGGACCGCAGGGTCAGATGCTCCTGATGCTGGTGAGGACCAGTCTGGAGCCCTGAAGAGCAACAGGCATTCCACAAAACAAACAGCGGTACTGAAGGACACTGCCTGTAGGGCAGGATTGATGACCTGGATGGTTGTGCACTTGGGGTGTCTGGTTTTGTTGGGGTTTTGTTGTTTTCTTTTCCAAATAAAACCTCTAGAGAAGCAAAGCCCCTGAGCAGGTTTGTCCCACGCCAACAGGAGGGCAATGGAAGGCTCTTTGTGGGCAGCCCGAGAGGATGAGCCCTCCTCTGTGCCAACCCAAAACCCACCAGCAGCATCACCCTGGACGTGGGCAAAGTCCATGGCTGTGACTGAAACCTCCTATTCCCTGGTCGGGTTCTTTATTCCCCTTGTCAGTTCCTACACAAATATAGGGCAAAGAAAATAACAAACTGGGGCTCAGGAATGTCCACACAGCTCTGCTGCCATCACAGCACTAGGGAAGTGCCAAAAGTTTGATTCTTTGGCTTTTTTTGTGCCCCTCACATATGCTGGACTGGCACCCACTGGAGTCTAAAATCTCTGGGGTGGGAATGGACTGACAGACACATGCATACAGACCTACACCAGATAAAGTGTATTTCTTTAGGCAACGAGCCTACCAAATAAAGAATAGTGTTTGGGGATACAGTACTCCCTTCTTCTCCTACCCAATCACTAGGGACCTGGGCACAGAGACAGGTGCTTGCAGCAATGGTGACCACACAACCCCACCTCCAGGACCTGTACCCTGCCAACACGCTGCCTTTAGCCCAAAATCACTGCGAGGACCCTTCTGGGAAGCACACCAGCAGGAAGCTCTGCTCCCTGACAGCCCCCACTGAGGTAGTGTTATAGAACATCACCCCATGCTTCACCCCCTGACCCTCCCACAGCACGGCTGAACGCAGCCTGCACCCTTTGCCAGGCAGGAACAGCCCCATCATCAATATCCAGGTACTCACCAGCCCTTACAATCTTGTCCCACTCTATTTTTTGCCCCATGAGAGACCACACTGCCTTACTTTCAAGACACGTGGTGACACCTGGATGGGCCACCTGTACCTGGTCCACCCAGCAGCACATACGTCTCTTTATGGGCCATAAGGCAGAGCTTCATTAACATCTGTCAGGGCTGTGCTTCACCTGGCAGACATCTCCCACAGTGGCTGATGGATCTACTGCCCACAGGGGTTCATCCGTGATGGCAGGTTAGGCTTTGCAGGGGATGGAGTCTGTCTGTCCTGGCTCATGAGGGTCACTTGGCAGCACAGCACTGAGCGCATGAACCGCAGGACCGGCGGCCTCAGGATGGCGAAGACCCATGGGTCAATGATGGAATTGATAGACAGGAATCTCAGGGCCAGGAGGTCCCACTCGTGGTTGTCCTTTTTCTCACTGAACTTGTTCACATAGGCACGGATCTGCAAAACACAACAGGGAGAAATAATGCTGGGAATGGGTTTCCAGGATCGAGCATCCTGGGGAGATTTGATCGGGTTGTCACAGCACATTCGCTGCCTCCATCAGGTCAAATGTACTTTTTGCTAACGAATACCAGGCGTGTGCTCTGTTCTCAGCTCTCAGCATGCAGGGAGGCTTCAATTAGCCCTAATGCAATTAATCCAGCGGCTGCTTAAGGAAGTGGTGGGTCTCACCTTGAAAACCACACTGGATGAATAAACGTGGAAGATGGAAGGGATGCAGCATGCTGGACCACTCCAGTCCTTCCTGCACTGTGCCGACTCATAGCAGCTTACGAGGCTTCCTGGAAGGGTGACTCAGCACTCCTTACTCATATGGGTCGAATCGCCACCCCCTCGCTTCAGGGGACAGGGGATGCTTGGATGCGGATGAGAGCTGGGGGCAGCACAGGATGCATGAGCATCCATCCTCTGGCCAGGATCCATTAGGTACCACCCAGGGATGGTGCATCCAGGAGGTGGCCATGGTTCAGCCCATGCTGAAGACTGTCCACAGCGGAGCACTTCCAAGGGCTGCCCCAGGCTTAGGGCTTTTTTGGAAGGATTTTGTGGTGCTGTAGCCTGATGCTTGCTGGGTTCACGTGCCCAGGCTGGTCCTGTGGGCATTGCCAGCCAGAGGAGAAAGTGTCACGCCAAGAAGGCACCAGCAGTGCTCGACAGCTTGGTTTGAGATGCTGCCAAAACACAGCCCAAACACAACCCCACATGGGAACCAGGTGATGGGAAAAGAAAAGCCAGCTGTACTTCTGGATAAGCCTGTATCTGCTACCAGAGGGCCCATGGGATCCCCATCAGCAGCACATTCCCATCCTGCCTGCCCCAAGCAGACCTTTGCCCACGTGTCCCCATCAAGGAATCCCACTTTATAGTGACCAGAGCACCCAAACCCAAGCTTTTTCAGGACATGGGGAGAGTCATCCATCACATGTGGGCCCATTAACGGAAGCTGAAACGTCTCTCAGGATGTTGAGTCTGGCTTCTGGGATGCTCATGAGCATCTGGACATGACTGCTTTGTCTTTCCTCTGTCTTAAAACCCAGGCAGCCTGGCTCAGCTACAGTCTGTGGTTATTTTATTTTCCCCTGTGACAAGAAAGGGAGTGCAAAGGGAAGGTAATGTCTATTTAACTCCATGAGCACAAAATTAGCACTGGCTGTGCTCCCAACCTTGGTGGGGCTTGCTTCTAATGGGAACAAAATGACCTTCCGCGGTGGCAGGCTCAAGCATGCAGGCAGGGAACATGAGTGTCTTGAGGTGCTCTGGAGTCCACCATGCTGCTGGTGTAATATGGTTTGGATGGATGAAAAGCTGCCCTTTGGAGGGGGAGAGCCGGGGCAGCGTCAGGAGACTTGCCCTCTTCCCTCCCTCACTTGGCTGCAGTGTTTCAACCCCGTATTTCTGCTGGAAGCCTCATGCATGGATATGGCACAGGACGTGGGCACAACCCCTGGGACAAGGCATGCTGTGGCCCATGTGCCGGATCTCTGCTCCCAGCAGTCACTCACCTCTGTGCCCACACCCCAGTGTTGTTACAGAGTAGAGACCTCTGCCTGCCCACATCTTCAGTTTCATTCTTCCTTCTTGTTACAGAAATCCGGAATAACTCTGCCTGCTCAGCACAGATATCCGCTCTCTCCAGCCCAGTGCCATCTCCTTCATCCCCATTTTTGGACATCTAACGTATTGCTCTGCCACCACTCTCACCTCCACCATGAGTGCCCGGTTCTCAGGAACCACAGGGAAGTCGTGTGGTTCAGAGGATGCCACCCTGCCTGAGCCACACTGACTTGGAGCCTCTGCGGGCACCTCTCCTCCTGCCACCCCATCCTCCTGCCACCCTGTCATCCCTGCACCCCGTTCTCCTGCCACCCTGTCATCTCCCCATCCAGTCCTCCTGCTACCCCACCCCATCCTCCTCCTGGCCCTGGGGATGCAGGAAGTGGCTCCCCCAGTACCCCCAGGGATGTGCAAACCGCCTGGAGTCTGTGCCAGAGCTGGGGTCTCCCAAGGTTCAGGAGGAGCTAACCTTTGACCTCAACCCTTGAGGTGTGGGCAGTGAAGTTGGGGGGAGGTATATAAAGGGAGGGAGGGAGAGAAACGGGAATGCTGGGAAGAGAGACCCCATCCCAGGGGAGAGGTGGTCACACTCACCGTGAAGGGCAGGGAACAGATGACAAAGGTGATGGTCATGATGGAGAGGAGGAGGAGGTGGTCGATCTCCTCGGCCATGGAGAACATGCGCCGGCCGCAGCTGCTGGCCGCCCGGGGCTGCTCGAGTGTGGCCAGCCGGCGGGTCTTCTGCCCGCGACGGTGCATGCGGGCCAGGTTGGCAATGACGCTGAGGTTGCAGAGCAGCACAGAGAGGATGAGGAAGAGGAGCAGGGTGGCATAGAGGAGCGAGAAGGTGACGTCCAACCCAGATACCTCCCTGCCGCTGTCGTGCTCGGGGTAGTCCAGGTGCATCTGGATGAAGCACCAAGTGCCGGGGCAATACTGCACATACTGCCCAAAACCCACCAGCGGCAAGGAGCAGAAGGCCGCCGAGAAGGTGTAGATGGCAGGCAGGACAACCAAGCCCGTACGGGGGCTTAGAAAGCGCTCGTAGAAGTAAGGCTGCCCCAGGGCCAGGCATCGCTCCAGCGCCATGGTGAAGAGGATGAGCATGGTGGCGAGGCCGAAGAAGCTCATAGCAAAACCAAAGTAGAGGCAGATGTGTCTTCCTTGGGGCAGGGTGGTCAGGGTGCGGTTGTGGTGGTAGGAGGCCAGGACGAAGGGGCTGACGGAGCAGGTGCCCAGCAGGTCGGTGACCACCAGCGCCAGCACCAGGACGTGGAAGAGTGCGGGCGCGCGGGCGCGGGGCCCGCGGCGGCAGCGCAGCAGAAGCCCCAGGGCCAGGAGGTTGCCCAGGAGCCCGGCGGAGAACATGAGCGCGCTGACCAGCGGGCGGGCCCCGGCCGGCAGAGCTCCGCCGACCTCGCACAGCTCCCGGCCCGTCCCGTTCATCCCGCCGCTGCCGCACAACTGCGCCGCCGCCCGCCCGCCGCGCCAGCACCGCCCTCCCGCCCAGGGCCGCCCCCGAGCCCGCCCCGGGCCGTCTCCTGGCACCGGGACACGGGTGGTTGGGACACCCGACGGCGAGTTCGCACCGGGGCCGGAGCGGGAGCCTCTCGCACGGGCAGTCCCGAGGCGATACGGGAGTCCCGGTGAGGCACCGAGAGCATCGCAGCACGGCCAGCTCCCGTCCGGTCCCAGAGCCCCGGGCTCAGAGCAAGACCAGGTGCCAGGCCGGGGTCCCAGGCCCCGAGCAGCCCTGCTGCTGATCTAGGAACCCAGCGGCATGGCCAGCCCTGGTGCTGGTCCAGGAGCCCCAAGAGGCACAGCAACACTCGGTGCCGGTCTGGGACCCCCTGAGTCACAGCGATACCCGGTGCTGGTCTGAGAGCACTGAGTTCATTTCAAGCCTCGTTGCCGGTGCCGTGCCAGGAGCCCCGAGGTGCCCTGGTGCCATCTTCATCGGGCTGGTGCAGGACAGGCTACCAGGGATCCAGAGCTGATCCCACGGCCCCAGAGGCACCCAGAGCCCACAGAGAACACCCTGCCCCATGGCCAGCTTTATACCATGTCTCCATTGCCCCCCTGTCCTATATGTCATCAGAGGTCCCCACAGTGGTGCGTCCTGCAGGCAGTGTCTGGTTATAGTGTGGGGGAGAAGCATCGATAGGAGCTCCTCTTCCTGCTGCAAGCCTGGCTGAGCACAGCTCATCTGCCCAAATACCAGCTCAAGGAGAGCTCCTTCCACTGGTGCTTTGGGTTCAGCAGGTGGCACAGGAAGCTCTCTCACTGTGTGAGAGTGTGTATTTCCCCAGTGTAAGTATTTCCCCAATCACGATCCTGATCCTCTCCCCACCTTTCTGAAAGCAAAGCCTTTGTCCTTGGCCTTCAACCTGGGATCTGGCCCAGGTGCACCCCTTGCCTAATGGGAACTGTCCTCACAAAGTGCTCTGGTCCCCCCAAGCCCCAGTGAAATGCTGCAGCATTGATCAGCTCCAGCATGGACACGGCAGGTTGCTGCCCCAAGTACGTTTTGGCTATTTTCAAAAGCTCGCTTTTGTAACAGGAACTTCGTAAAGGAAACATGGTATACGGTGAGCCCTGGGGCTGGGTGAGCTGCGGTTTGTGACAGCACCTCTGTTTCCAACAGGCCACTCCTATTCCTTTCTTGAAGTTCAAAGTCGTCTTCAGCACTTCACGGAGGACATGCAGTTGTGTAGGGCTGTATGGGACCCTGACATGTTCAGCCCTCTGTGGTACCTGCAAAAAGCCTAATCCTGGCCTGGTCCATCTAAGCAGCATATGGAGGCTGCATTCTGCTCCTCTGGAGACTTTTTCCGAGCAGAAGGCACCCTGTGGAGTGGTTGCTTCAAGACTTTTCCCAGCCTCCCACTCCTGTCTGGTGTTCTGTGTAACAGCTCAGGAGGGGGTTTTGGCATCTTCTGGAGCTCTTTTTCCTGGCAGCTAATGGAGCTTTAAATACCCATTTGGAGCTTCAGGCTTCTCAACTGGCAGTTGCCTCTGAAGGGATATTTTTGCAATAATAGGAAATTGATGGGCTTTTTTCTTGGTTTATTTTTTTATCCCTTCTGAGCTCAGCACCAGGAACAGGCCACTTGGTACCATCTGTCCATCTCTTGGGAAGAGTTTGTTTTCTTCCTTTTGCTTCCATGTTATCTTGGGTGTCTTGTTTCTAACAAAGACTATATAGGATCATAAAATCATTTAAGTTAGAAAAGATCTTTAAGATCACCAAATCTGACCATTGCCCCAGTACTGCCAAGCCCACCACTAAACTATGTGCCGAATTGCCACATCTACACATCTTTTAAATACCTCCAAGGATGATGACTCCACCACTTCCCTGGGCAGCCTCTTCCAATGCTTGACAACCCTTTGGGTGAAGACATATTTCCTAGTATCTAATCTAAACCTTTCCTTGAGACCATTTCTTCTTATCTTGTCACTTGTTACCTGGGAGAAGAGGCCAACCCACACCTCACTACAGCCTCCTTTCAGGCAGTTATAGAGAGTGATAAGGTCCCCCCTGAGCCTCCTTTCTTCCAGACTAAACAACCCCAGGTCCCTCAGCCATTCCTCATAAGACTTGCGCTCCAGACCCTTCACCAGCTCCTTTGCCAGTCTTTGGACATACTCCAGAGTCTCCTATGTCCTCCCAAGGGTCACTGGCCTTTTTTTTCCTCTAAGAGAAGATTTACAGGGTTGGCCCATTTAGAGAAAAAGCTTTGGGCTTGTAAGAAAGGTGCATGAATTTCATATAAACCCTTCAGCCAAGAGGACTCAACCTCTGGAGTTTGCTGTCTGTAGCTGGGGAGAGCACTGGGACCCTGCTTCATCCCTGGTGGGTTTTAAAGGATGGCTTTGGCATTACAGGCAGGGAGGAAATCCTAAACTGACAGAGGGCAGGTTTAGATTAGATATAAGGAAGTTCTTCACTGTGAAGGGGGTGAGACTTTGGCACAGGTTGTCCAGAGAAGCTGTGGCTGCCCCATCCCTGGCAGTGTTCAAGGCTAAGTTGGAAGGGGCTTGGAGCAACCTGGTCTAGTGGAAGGTGTCCCTGCCTGTGGCAGGAGGGTTGGAACTGGATGATCTTGAAGGTCTCTTCCAGTCCAAACCATTCTGTGATTCTATGACTGCATGGGTGAATTTCAATCCTTTTAAACCAAAAACTCTGAGTTGTGTTTAGCAAAGCCAGACATCATTTTCCTTCCAAATGCTTCCTAGCCCTGTCCCTTATCTCATGTACCAGTGCTGCCAGCAGCCTCACTCTCCATCCTGGAAGAGAGGGGCCAGGTACCAGTGTGGCAGGTCCAGGTTTTGGCACGTTGATTTGCAGTCCTGTGCAAGTACCTGGGTGCACAGGTTAAAAAATCCAACCCCTCACCAGCTGGCTGTGTCTTACAGTGCCCTGGCTGTGGTGCCTGGCAGCCCCAGCACTGCTGCCTGCCCAGACATGTGCCTTCCTGCTTCCAGAATGGCTGAGAAATGCAGGCAGACAATAAAATAAAAGAGCTCTTTGCAAGAACTAAACAGTTTGCTGGGAAATGAGCTTGTGCAAAGTTGTGCCTTGATTTCATGAGCCAGAAAAACTCAAAGTAACCCTGACCATGCTCAGTTAACATCCAAGAAAGGAGAGGGATGCAAGGTTAGGTGATGCCAGTGACACCAGTGACACTGTGAGTGTGGGACACGGCAGCCAGCAGCGCTGGCGCAGCACAACAGCTCCAAAAAGAGCATCGTTGGTGTGAGCCACAGGCGTGAGCCAAGCAGCGTCTCTTTATTGCTTCCATTAAGCATTAGGTCTGTCCCTTTGAGGATCATTGGCACAGGAATGATCTGGCACGGAGGGGACCCATGGGGCATGACTGAGCAGTGTGAGGAGCTTGGGAAGAGGATGTGATCGGGGGGCTCACACAGCAGCTGTCAGCTCTTCAGTGTTGGGCTGGGGAGCCCTGAGCCTCTGGATTATTTTGGTTCCTGTCTAGCAAGATTCACAACTAAACCACAGTTGCAGGGAGGTTTTTAAACCATGATTTTTATTCTATTTCCATTTTTTCCAAGCTCAGTAATAGGAAGGGGCTCTGAGCTTCGATATAACTCCTGAAACCCCAAACCAGGTGCGTTTGGGCATTAAAAAGTGGATTGCCCAAGGGAGCAACTTGGGGTGGAGAGGAGCAGAGCCCATCCTTGCAGCCGCTGTGCCCAGTGAGCTCAGGCCGACTCGGCAGCAGTCCTGGTTGGAGACGTGCTGCCATCTCTGGAGAAGACTGCGGTACGGCAGCCCCAGGCCCCACGAGCAGTGATTTATCTGCTCGGAGGGCAGCCTGGCGCTCAGCCCCAAGAGCAAACCTTGCTGTCTGCTGCCGGAGGCACCGGTGGCTGGCTGGAGACTCCAAGTCTGCTCCCAGAGCAGGTAGGACACCATTTAGTGCAGAATGGTGATTAAATAGCTAGTGGAGCGAGATAAGAGTGTCAAGGTCACCAGGAGGTGCGTGGGCTCAGGAGCGGAAACAGGGATGATGCAGGGACAATGGGGGTCACCCCGAAGCCTGCAAGCCCCCACTGTGCTCAGCGGTTCCACGATTTCTTTCCTTTCATGATAAACTCCTGGATGGGTCAGACACTGGGGTGTGTGCATCATCTCAGGGCTTGGATGGGGGCTGCATTCATGCACCTTAATAAGCATCCTGGGGCCTTTGTTGGTTTGGGGTTTTCTAAATTTAGTTGCATGGTTGCCCTGGGCTCTAAATACACATACCATGGGGGAGGGACCTCTCCCAGGAGGTTCTCTAGGAGTGAATCCTTGTTGAGATCAAAGGCAGATGATGGCCTTTCCCAGCCTGTGCACACATCAAGCACCCATGGCTCACATTGCTGCCACCTCCTAGCCTGTCTGTGCCTGGTCCATCTGTCTTGATGGACGTATGGTGGAGGGGATCCCAGACCAGGAGGATTTTACAGAGCCGTTATCCCACCTGGCCTTCATCCTTCTGCAGTGGAACAGGTCCAGTGAAAGCCACAACACAGGCTCGGTGCTGTTGACTCTGTGGTTCCACGTGAGACATCTCCAAGACAGTAACACACCGGTAACGTGAAACCAATAGGCAAACCAACCCTCACTGCATTTCTTTCTCTTTAGCAAGCCCTGAAGGTGAGGTTGCACACCCCCATAATATATCCCCAAATACAGGTTTGCCCTTTGCTCTAGCCTGGGAGAGCCTGTCTGGTCAAACAGCCAGAGTCAACCCAACCAGGTCACCTCCAAAAAGCCCCAAGGTAGATTTGCATGAGTTTCTTCCTTCAAAAACCAGAATCCATTTGACACCAAGAGTAACTATCACAAGAGAATTGGCTGGAACATGACTACACCTTGCAAGGCTTGGCTAAATAGAGGGAGAGAATTATTTGCCCTGTCTACTCCAAGGACAATAAGCAGATGGGGACTTGGGTGATCATCATTT